GCCCCGCGGGACCCAGCCCGACTTCCCTTTAGCTGGTCCCGCAGGAGGGGGCGGCGCCCTCCCTCCCCACGAGCCTCTCCATCACTGCTCCTCGGGCAGAAAGACGCTCTGGGCTCGACTTGCTTGCTTTTTAATGTCAGAACAGAGGCCGGGGATCGGGGGGGCGGGGGGCAGCCGGCCCCGGGGAGCCCCGCGAAGAGCGGATTGACCAGGGAGGCCAAGGGGGCTGTTAGCGCCCAGTGCTGGGGGTGGGGGCAGCTGGGAGACGCTGAGGAGGGGGAAACGCCTCGCTGTCACAAGTGGGGGAGGCTCCAGGGCCGCCAACCAGCCCGGGGCCCGCTGGGCGGGGGCAGCGGAGGGCGTCTGGGGCATCGGGGGCATGGGGTCCGTCCTCACTCCTCAGACTGCACCTCCATCCCCCAGGGCTTGCAGAGGAGCTTCCTGCTGGCTGTGACAGCGCTGAAGGAGGCCAGGGAGCCCAGCGGCCTGGGGAGGCAAGACCCCCCGTGGCCCAGGGGGCTCCAGGGAGACCAGAGCAGCTGTAAGGATGAGAACGGGAAGGGCGGTCTCTCTGGGCTTCCTAGCCCCCAAGCCCAGGCACCCCCCCAGCCTCTGTGTTTTGTTCCTCTCCAGGCCAGCCACCCAACCTGGGGCTCTGGCCTCCCGCTGTCCCTCCTCCCAAGACCAGGCAGCCCCCGCACCCTCCTCCACCCCACCAGGTTCCTCCAGCAGACCTGGGGCCGGCCAGCGGTGAGAAGGTGGCCGTCCTCCTGTGGATAGGCAGCCCTGTCCTCTTCCAGACCCCGGTGTTCGGTGGCACTGGGGACTCCACGGTGGTCATCGGCAAGCGCCAGGGGCTCAGATGCAGCCCCAGAGCTGCCCCACTGGGCCTTCTTCTGTCTGTGGTGACGTGAGGCTTAGGAACGCAGAGCCTGGAGGCCAGGCTTCCTGTCTCTCCACTCTTCACCTCTCTGCCCTGAAATACTTCCTGCTGGGACCCAGGGGTGTTATCACTGGACTTCCAACCGTCCACCCCCAGCTTCCTGCTCCCCTCAGACTGGAGCACCCTCAGTCCAGGGACTCAGAGGTGACCTGTGGCTACTCACGACCCTCCAGTTCTGTGGACGGCTTTCCTGTCATCGGTGACCCTGTTTCCACTCCTTGCAGCTCCTGTGGTTCATCCTCCACCCCCAGTTCCCTCCCCATCTCCGTACAGCCTCCAATTCCTTCAAAGCTCTCAACCCCTTCCTTAGTTCAAACCCTCCTGCCCCCAAACCCTGCTTGGCTCCGAGAGCCCAGATGTCTCTCTCCTTACTCATTGATGAGTCTCTGTCGCCTCCTTAGATCCTCCAGGTGATAAGTGACTGCCCTCACCCGGGCTGGGATGCCCGCAGGTCCCTGCTGCATTCCTGCCAAATATGGCCTTCTTCTCTTTCTTCTGCAAAGCACCTCTGGTGGTGGGAGCCCCTCAGGGGGGTACAGGCCAGGCTGGGAGCATCCAGTGGCTCTCTGTGCCCGAGAATGGGGGGAAAGGGGCCAGAGGGCAGAACTGGGCCTCTCAAGGAGGGCTTGGACTAAAACAGGGAGTCAGGGGTCTTGGGAAGCCCAGATCATGGAAACAGGGTGACTGATGCAAAGAAAGGAGGGTGTGGCCCGTGCACTGGTTGGGGGACAGCAGAGGGAAGAGGTAATAAGGTTAGCTGAGGATAGGATAGCAGTGGGTACGATTTTAAACAAGGAGTGCTGAAGGGCACAACGTTCGTCATACCAGCAGGGGTGGGGTGTACTGTTCTTCCGTCCCGGTGGGGCTGTAAAGCACAAAAGGGGAGCTATGTGCAGAGGACACCCCTATCTGTACTGTTTCTTGGACCGCCTCTCCCAAGCACCTGTCCGTCTGGCAGTAGGAGCTACGGTGTCCATCAGCCAGTGGTCCCCAGACGAGGGCTTATTGCTGTAAGGTTTAGTGCAAAACTCCACAGCCTTACTTCCGCCTCCTTTTCTCTGTGTCTACCCACCTGGGCCTTTGGCTAAGGTTCTCCCAGAAGAGGGCTCCGTATCGCTGGGGCAGCAGTCCGAGGCTCTGGGGAGGCAAGCTGGGGGGTGCTGAGCGGCGGACCACTCTGGAACACCTAAGAGGACAAGGGAGGCTTGGGGCTGGCTCACTCCAGGGATTCAGGGGTCCCGTCTTTCCGTGGGACCCTCCGGCCACGTGCTCTCCTAGCCATTTCAGCTGAGGAGGTAGTGAGATCTCTGATTTGCGAGACTGGAGACTGCAGTTGTTTGAGCCTCGGATCTCATGCCAAATCTCAAACGTCTGTGCCCCGGAACCAGGGAACACCACGTTCAGCTGTTACAGAGGAAGGCCCCAGCGGCCCCGCTGATGTGACAGGCGGGTTCCGGCTGGTCAGCGCAAGGGCCCAGCCGAGCAGAACCTCTGCTCACTCCTGTTTGTCTCCCCTAACGCAGATAAACTGCTATCCTTCTAAGTAGCAAGGGGTGTGCAGAGGGGTTTGAGGACAGGGCTCAGCACTTCCAAAGTCCCCAGACTACATGCAGACTGGCCTCCTGCTCTCCAGGGGAGTGTCCTAGGGGTTGGCCTGGACCCTCTCTCTTCTCATCTCCACCTCTCCTTATGGGATCTCACTCAGGCCCATGACTTTAAATACTACCAATGTGCTAAGGACTCCCAAATCCCTATCCCCCTGGACTCCACACATGGAGTCCACATCTCCTCCCCAGCCTTCCCCACCTCACGGGAAGGCACCCCAGATGCCCAGTTTCCAGAGCCCACAAACCTGGTACGCCTCACTTTCCCTCAACTCCCATATCCAGTCTATCAGCAAGTCGTGTCAGTCCTACATCGAAAATATACCCAGACTTAAAATGAAAAAATTAAAAAATAAAGTTTCACTTAAACTAAAAAAGGCTGGGGGCGGGGCTTGGCTGGCTCAGTAGGTAGAGCATGCTACCCTTGATCTCAGGGTTGTGAGTTCAAGCCCCACGTTGGGCGGTGTGGAGCCTACTTACATTAAAAAATATATATATATTTTGATTTTTTAAAAAAAATTTCACTTAAATTAAAAAAAAATAAAATACACCCGATTTGACCACTCCTCACCCTTTCCACTTCCACCGCCACTGTTCGGCTCATCTACCCCTGCCTGGACTATTGCAGTGGGTTCCTCCTGCTCTCCCTGCTTCCATCCTAACCTCCCAATCATCTCTTCTGCCCGGAGCAGTGTGAGTAACCGTTTAAACATGGTTGTGTGAAATGCAGACAGGTTGAGATTTACTTCAAAATAATCTGAGTAGGAGGAGGCTGGACGGTCGCACAGATGAAATGATCGTCCCTGGAATGATAATTTTTGAAGCTGCCAGCAAGGGCACACTGGCTTCATGATGAGTATTTTCTCTGCTTAGGTATTTGTTTGACATTTTTCACAATAAAGAAATTGGGGAGAAAGAAAAAAGTCTGCTCGTGCCATTTCCCTGCTGAAAACCTTCCACTGATTTCCACTGCCCTTTGGATAAAATCCAAAACCTTTCCAACGGCTTGTAAGGTCCTGTATGAGCTGGCTTCTGCCTGACTGTCCGACTTTACTCTCTACTTTTCCCATGATTGTGAAGTTTCAGTTTCACTGGCCTGCTTCCTGGTCCTACAAGATACTGAGTTTCTTTCTTTCTTGGGGCTTACCCCCCCTCACTATCCCTTCTTCTCCCCTCACCCCCCACCCCAACCCGGGCTATTATCAGACCAGCTGCTTCTCAATCTTTCAGATCTCAATTCAAACCCAGCTCCCCAGAATCGTCTTCCACAATCACCCTATCTAAACTTGTGTCTCCAGAATATTCTATTTTGCATTACATTATGCTCCTGTTTTATTTTTTTATACTTCTCACTAATTGAAATTATATTTACATTTGGACATTCTGTGTCCTCCCTCCAGAAAGTAAGTTCTATCTGTTTATGTTTATTCCTTATCTTCCTCATTGTTGAATCCTTGGTGCTGAATATCATGTCTAGAACGTTGTAGTTCTAGACAAAACCTATTTGTGGGACAAATTAATGAATCATTGGTCCCCTGAGACCAGGCATTGAGCTTCTTGTTCCTTATTTGCTACTCCTGTTGGGGAAGAAGCCAGGCGTGCCATCTTCCCTCCATCCCGTCCCCACTGGGTGGGGAGGACTCACTTGGCAAAGGGGATGAGGTTGTCTCCATCTTCCTGCACGACTGGACTGGGCTGGGTGGCTGGACCAGGCTGGGTGGCTGGACAGAGTCTCCTCATTGGTGCTGGGAGGATAATGGAAAATGAATCATTCACTCATGTCACGGCTGTAGGGACGAGGCCGGCCGAAGATCTAGAGATTGCGAAGGGGGTTTGTGGTTCGGGAGAAAGGAAGGAGAGCTTCAGGGGTATTTCTAGTGCTGGCCATGTTTAGGAGCTGAACATACACACGGTTTAAAGACAGCGAGCATAGGGAATGTGGACGTTCAAAGATAAGTCAGGAAATTAATTTTCTGGAGCCAAACGTAGAGTAAGTGAGACCTGCAGATGGTAACTTGGGATGATGGAAGGACAGACAGGCGGGGACTGGGTAGGGCAGAGGGGTTCGGGGTCGTTGGTACAGAATCGTTGTTTGGGGGCAGTTAGACAACTGAGGGCTGTTAAGTAAATCAGATATGAGGGCTCACGAAAGTCACATGGGCACAGGGCAGCGCGGTCCCTCCGGGAGGGAGGGAAGGAGGGGGCGGTCAGGACCGCGTGCAGGTAAAGGTGAGCAGGCAGGCGAGCTGCACAGGGCCAGACTCAGGGGCGGCCGGGCGCGCTAGAGGAGGGGTCCGAGCGGGGTGCCCCGGGCCCAAGGCGGGTGGGCCGAGCTCAGGGGG